CCCGGTGGCCAGGTGCGTGCCTGGCGCTCTCCGAGGTGTCGGAGATTCCCCAAATGACTTCTCAAACGGCCAAGGCAGGCCACCAAGGCAGCCAACATGGGCCAAGAGGCCACCATGACGGCTCAAGATACCTCCAAGACGGCTCCAAGAGAGCCTCCAGCACGGCCCGAAGAGGCCCAAAGCATTGATGTTCCATGGATGATTTTCACATTCTCGCCTTGTCGAGCATCCGACCCAAGACGACCCAAGATACCACCAGGTCCCAAGAGAGCCCCAAGAGCCCCCAAGACCCACAAAAGAGCCCCAAGACCCCCCAAAGAACCACAAGCGGCTCAACGAGGCGATTTTGACGGCTCCTGTGGGCGGGGGGGGAGCGAAATCAAGGACCCCCAACCCTCTGGGCGTAGGTGGTCCAATGAGTTCTTCTTGTTCCACTTCCAAAACCATCTTCCCTTCGGGGAGGGGGGACCCTCACCCTCCCTGCCTGAAGTTTTTCGCGAGGTGTCCGAGGATCCTTTTTCGCCCACGACGGCTCCGAAAACCTCGGGTGCTCCAATACGGCCTCTAAGATTGCTCAACACCCTCCCCCTCCTCGCCTTGCCCGCTTCGTTCTACTATATGTGTATCTTCCTCCCGTTCCCTGTCAGCTCGTATGGGTCACGTTTCTGAACGGGCTGGTGGGGATACGCGAAGCTTGGCCCAAGAGGCCCCCAGCAGGCCCCTGCCTTCTCGAGTAGCTGCCACCCCAAGTGCTGCGCTGGCACGGTGGCGGAATTGCCGGAGGCAACCGGATAGGTCATCAGAGTTCGCACATCGCGCTCCGCGATGCGCGACGCGCGGGTATCTTCGCGCCCTCGCGCCGCCGCTCTAGAGAAGGGCGTCTCTCCATCACGGGCCGCGAGGCGCAATTATCTTCGCGCCCGTGCTGGTACCCTAGGAGAGAGAGAGAGAGAGAGAGAGAGAGAAAAAACGAGAGAGAACGATAGAGAGAGAGAGAGATAGAAAGTGCGAGAGAGAGAGAGGAGTGAGAGGGTGGGAGAACAGGAGGAAGGGAGGGGCGAGGGCGAGAAAGAGAAAGGCGGGAAAGACGGGAGAGAAACTGTCATCACCTTTCTATGTTGTTATCTAACCCATCAGATCAGAGAGACCAGCGAAGAAAAAATGATTCCTGCACACTTATCGAGTACCACCGAGAAACGGCGGCGTGACTTGCCCCACACAAACCCACCCCAACAAAAAAACGGCGAGCAGAACGCAAATCTTCAATGAACCTCATCGAACAAAACAGCGATGACGACACGCCAAAACACTTACCGGGACGCATGCGAACCCTGCCACAAGGGCCTTTGGTGAAACTCCCTGAATCTCCCTATGAAGCCACGTGCCGTGCGAGGGGTGTGCCAAAATTGGACTTGGGACGCATGTGAGCCCTGCTATTGAGGCGTTCGGTGGGGATCCCTATGCGACCACGAACCGTGTGTGTGTGTGTGTGTGTGCGTGTGCGTGTGCGTGTGTGTGTGTGAGTGTGTGTGCGCCTAGCTCTTAACCGGAAGAGGCCCGCTCTCGACCCGCAGACCAAAAAGTGTGTGTGTGTATGCGTGCCCAAATTTGCCAGGGGGCATCTGTGAACCCTGACACTGGGGCATTCGGTGGCCCCCCCCTATGAGGTCACGCGCCCCAAGGAGGCCCGCGAGCAAGCAGCGGTCCGCATCACGCGACCCAAAAAACGCCGAGGAACCCCGGAAAAAAAACGGCGACGAAAGATCCTGCGAAGACTTAATGCACTCCCCGAGAAAGCGGGAAACGGCGACGCCCAACCTGGGGGAGTTACCGACTGGAGTCTCCGTTGAGGGGGGTGATAAACTGTCAGAGCCCTCTTTCACCGACGGCGAGTGTCCTGCGCCCCCTTTGGCTGATTCTTCGCCGTGGCGGCCGTCAGCGCACTCCTGGCCCCCGCCCATGCTCCAGTCAGGTCCTCCTCTGACTTCCTGCCCTCCCAAATCACCCCTGACGATTCACCCTCCCTCGCCAATTCCTCCCTCCACAGCCCCGTCCGTCCACCAGACGTCCAGAGAGCATCGGGGGTGCTCATGCATCCCCAGCTGTGCATCGGTAAGAGCGTGATGGGCGTGGACGAGGACAGCCCATTCGAGAATTCGACGGATTTCCTTACAACATGCAAGGTGTTCGGAGACATCAGATGCGTTCATTGCCCCACCAATCTGTGCCTCGGCTTCTCCAAACCCTGCAGATCCGTAGCCCGCCTCATTCATTCGTGTAGAGTAACGGGCCAAGCACGGTTTGAGCATGTTTGCATCGTGAAACTCTTACGCTTTCAATGGAAGTTTATTGCGCTCCAATGTAGATCTGGCTGCACGACGAGCACATACATGTTCGTCGAAGCGCAGCTATCATACATCCCCAAATCGATCCGAACCGAAGGAGTGGGGCATCTGTGCACACCACAAGGAGGAAACGCAAAGGGTCTAATCGATTCGCTAGAAGTGGCCAGAATTTCCAGGAATCGATCGGGCCATATTGAATCGTGGACACCCGTGGATGCATGCTCCCCCCCTGCGGGGGCTCGACCTCCTTTCAGCGCGCTTCGGAGCACCCCATGACCCCCAGCACACGTGCTGTCGAGCTGTCGCGCCCTCTTCCAGAAGCCTCAGAAAACAAATTAAATCCGGGGAGACGTGAGCCTCGGGTACGGGGAACTCGGGCTGGCCTGACGGGGCCACCATGAAAACGACGAGACCCAATCTGAAATCTGACGCGAGCTCCCGCTGCAAACATCCCGCGAAAGCTGGACCGTCAACATCCAGGACGCGCTCCCTCCCTCCCTCCCTCCCTCCCGCCCTCTCGTCAACAAAAAGTCGGCAAACCCGAGCTCCGGCTTGCTCGAGCCTTACGCTTCCCCGATACATTCGCAACATGGCCGAAGAAGCCCAGGCGGGCGACACTTTTTGGTCTGCGGGTCGAGAGCGAGCCTCTTCCGGTCAAGAGCTAGGCGGGCCACGCGAAACACTAATTGGGGAGACAGAGCACAGGCGGGCGGGGCCTCAGGCGGCCGGAGGGCGGGCCGCCCAGGCGGGCGACACGCACGAGCCAAAGCCGGCTTCCACCGCCAGTCAACAGCCAAGCCTGGCGACAGCACTCCGAAGACATGCGCACTGCCCCCCCCCGGGGTGTTGGAGGGCGGAGAGATGCGTCCTGTCCTTCGACGCCCGACACGGGTACGGCAGAATCACGAGAAAAAGCGCCACAGTCATAAACCTTTGGCGCTCCGCGCGGGCTTTCTCCTGCGAGTCCCTGGACGCCCGACACGGGTGCGGCAAAATTGGGCACGATGCCCAACAGCGCATTTGGTGCAAAACCGACAGCGGCCGCTGTTGGGCAGGCGACCTTGAATCTCATCTGGACCACGCACGCGACGACACCGACAACGGACCCTGTTCAAATTAGAAAAGAACTGATGTCGGTTTTCGTATCCATTGTTTCCGTACGCCCCCAGTTCGATCGCACCGACAATCGCCCACTGTAGAAGAAGAAAGAGCGGCATCAACATAAACTTTCGACGGTCCGCGCGGATTTCTGGGATCGGCACTGGACTCCCCTCCCTGGCTCGCGGAGCGCGCCACCGGCGGCGCTTGAGGCGCCGCTGGGGGGGCCCAGGCACCGGTCCAAGAAATCCGTGCGGAGCGCCAACAGTCTACGTTTATGGCGTTTCTCCTTCTTCGAATTATTTCCGCACGTGCCCAGGTCATTTGTACCGACAGTGGCCTTGCTCCCCCTCCTGGTCCTCCTCCTCCTCCTCCTCCTCTTCCTCCTCCCCCTCCTCCTCCTCCTCCTCCTCCTCCTCTTCTTCTTCTTCGTCTTCTTCTTGTTTTTCTTGTTCTTCTTCTTCTTCTTCTTATTCCTCTTCCTCCTCCTCCTCCTCCTCGTCCTCCTCCTACTCTTCCTCCCCCCCTCGTCCTCCTCTGCCTCCTCCTCCTCGTCCTCCTCCGCTCCTTTTCCTTATCAATAACTTCTCCCTGTTGCACCCCAAGCCAGTTTCTAGGGCGGTCCGGGCGTTTCGCCTGGGACTTCTTCACCATCTACGACCCTGAAGTTTACACATTGGCAACAGTTTCACACATCCAGGGCGCGTCGTTTTCGAAATGTGACTCTCGCCTTAACGCCGCGCACATTCATTTCAGACATTTGCAAGAGCTTCACGGGGATTGAGGGCGGGTCGTTTTCAAAATGTGCCTCTCGCCTTAGCGCCGCGCACATTCATTTCAAACATTTGCAAGGGCCTCACGGATTGAGGGCGGTTCCTTTCCAAAATGTGGTTCTCGCCTTAGCGCCGCGCGCATTCGTTTCAAACATGTGGAAGATTTTCACGGATTGAAGACGGTTCCTTTTCAAAATGTAGATCTCACCTTAGCGCCGCGCATATTCGTTGTAAATCATCTCAACAATTTAAAGTATTCCCATGATCAGCGTACCCGACATGGTGTTTTGGAAGGGTTGCGGATTATGAGGGCGCAACAGTTACGTTGAATCGCGCTGTTGAAGTCCTAGGAATGTTCTGGCACGATTCAGGATCGTCAAGACGCAACAATCATATTGATCTGTGGCGCTGAAATTCCGGGAACGATGTTTTGGCATGCATCAGGGCCTTCAAACGGTTGTCTTCCAACGAGGCGGTTCCCTCAGTGGGAATGAACCCTTGTAGGGGCCTATGATGAGGGAGCTTGGAGGGAGGGCTTATTCTAACATCGTTGATGACTCTTGAGTTTACACTGGTACTCCTCCTCATCCTCCTCCTCTTTTCCTCCTCCGCCTCCTCCTCGTTCTCCTCCTCCTCCTCCTCCTCCTCCGCCTCCTCTTCCTCCTTCTCCCCCCTCTTTCTCCTATTTTCCTCCTCCTCCTCCTCCTCCTTTTCCTCGTTCTCCTCCTCCTCCTCCACCTCCTCCTCCTCCTCCTCATCCTCCTCTCCTCCCCAATATCCCCACCTGGCGGCATTGTCGAGCACGGGCATGGCCGGAAACCGGAGCCGCACCCACGCGTCCGCCTCGTCGCTGGTGCGCACGGCCGAGGGCAGCGCCTATACGTGGGGGCCGCCAGTACGGGCGAGGCCACGCCACCCAGGCGTGGGGCTGACCCCGTACATGTCGTCGTCGTCGTCGTCGTCGTCGTCGTCGTCGTCGTCTCTGGATGCCGCCGCGGACGGCCACAGAGATTGGCGGCCAGCCCAGCGGAGAATGCAAATGGGGCGGGCCTTCTCAGAAGGCTCAGAGGCCTCCGGCCTTTTGGAGAGTTCTCTGAGCCTTTTCCGAAAACAGAAACGATTTCGCAAGAGGCCGGAGGGTTTCTGAGAAACCCCGCCGCGTTCTGAGGAACGTGGACGCCTTCTGGCTTCCCCCATCGGCACGCCGCCGACCCCGAAGTCCACGAGCCCGTGCAGCCTGGCAAGGCCATGGGACGAACCTGGTATCCATGTCTTTGTCCCGATGGGGTCACGCGGGTAATTCTGGTCTGGTCATGCTCGTGTCCTGGTGGGGTCATGGAAGAATCCTGGCGGGATCGTCATACGGCCATGAGCGGTATAGGCTACTTGCACCGAGTCGAAAGAGATATGATAAACCGAACCATCTACTACGGTGTAGGCGGTCCCATGGCAAAACCATACCAGGAGGAACGAACAACCGTGAGATGGGACATGTTTCCGTTTTCCGCATACGATTCTACCTCGTGCACGAGATAATCATATATCAAAGGCGCACCACGTGAGCGCAAGCGGCGGCGGACGCAGGCGCGTCGCTCGTAGACTCGTTTTTGGCCTCCATGCAAAATCAGGATGGGAGGAGTCGAGCGACGGGCCGCATCGAAATACAACATGTCTAAACATACAGCTGCGCCAGCAGAAACCGCACAGCGGGCAACCACGTTGCTCTGGCTGGTCGGCTGGCGCTACGCCAGAGCAACGAGTCCATGCAAATATTCGCCGACCGAGTCGGCGTGTGTGAGACGCTGTCGTCGTTCTCGTCGTCGTCGTCGCTAGTCCCAAAGAAATCTATAACGAAAGCACGAAATGAACGTCGTAGAAAAAACGTCGTAGTTGAGTCGGTTCCCTATTCTTTTCTCCTCCCTGACCGCAGTTGGGGGTACCACCATGGAAAAGTCGACCATTCTGTGCCGTGGAACACCGGTATTAGAATCAGAGCAAGCCACACGAGTGTGGCCAGCTCCGCTACCAAATCGACAGTGCTATAGCAAGCCGAACTATTTACTACGCCTTAGGCGCTCCCATGGCCCAACCATGGTGGTAGTGTAAGCGAGCAGCTGAGAGGTGGAAAATGGGGTTGCAAATTTATATGAGGGTGCATGTACCCCGTACACGGGATAGAGGGCGCGCCGCGTGAGCCCAAGCGGCGGCTGACGCGGGCGCATCGCGCGTAGTCTCGCCTCTGACCTCCGTTCAGGCTCACCGTCCTTGAAACTGGTACAATGGACGAGGGTCACGGTAGTCTCAAGCATGGCAAAATTCTGATGGGGTTCTCGGATGGACGCATCGGGGGCCCTGACGAAGTCCTGGCTGGGCCCACGATGGTGACGGCGTCGTCCGGGATGGTGAGGGCCAAGCGCGCTGTGTTTGGCGGGAGCGGAGACGGAAGCCCGCCGGGGTTCTGGATGGTGGGGGCTTGCCGTCCTCGAATGGGCCACCCGACGAAACTCCTGCTGGACAAATCCACGTGGTATTGGATGGCGAGAGCCAGCGCACCTTTAGGGGGCAAGCAAACTGCGCGACAGCGAGATGGAGCAAGACGGCAATGAAGGCACATACCAAGATGCAACGAGATTGTCCACCAGCCCGCAAGGGCGTGAGTGGCTTACTATACTGTTTGTTAAAACTACATTAATAATTCGCTGAGCAATTAATGCTGTAGCTGTACTGTAGGGTGCTACAGCTAAATACTTGTTAGCGGCGGGCATGCTGTAGCTGCGACGAAGCTAGATGGCCGCGGCCTGGGGTGTGTGTGTGTGTGTGTGTGTGAATTCGAAAGAGTTGCCCGAAAAGGGCCAGGCCGACAAAAAATAGAAAGGAATGTGATGCGGAATTTCCCGAGTTAGAAAGGAATTCCGAATGCCAGGGGCAATTCTGCATCTCGGAGACAATCGAATCATAATTGCCCGAGAAGCGCTAAGGCCAGGAAGAAAAAAAACTAGAAAGGAATTTGATCCGGAATTTCCAGGGTTTGAAAAGAAGTTCAAATACCAAGGGCAATTCTGCATCTCAGAGACAATCAAACAGAATTGCCCGAGAAACGCCAGGGCCAGGAAGGCAAAAGGAGTTATAAAGGAATGTGATGCGGAATTTCCAGAGTTAGACAAGAATTTCGAATTCCAGCGGTAATTCTGCATCTCAGAGACAATCGAATCATAATGGCCCGAGAAGCGCCAGGGCCAGGACGGAAAACGGAGTGAGAGAGGAATGTGATCAGGTTTTCCAGGGTTGGGAAGGAATTTCGAATACCAGCGGCAGTTCTGCATCTCAGAGACAATCGAATCATAATTGCCCGAGAAGCGCCAGGGCCAGGAAGGAAAACGGAGTTAGAAAGGAATGCGATGCGGAATTTTCCATGGTTAAACAAGAATTTCGAATGCCAGGGGTAATTCTGCAGCTCAGCGACAAGCGCCAGGGCCAGGAAAGAAAAAGGAGTTAGAAAGGAATTTGATAATGAATTTCCAGAATCAGAAAAGAATTTCGAATACCAGGGGTAATTCTGCATCTCGGAGGCAATCGAATCGGAAGTGCCCGAGAAGCGCAAAGGACAGGAAGGAACGAGGAGTTATGAAGGAATGTGAAAAGGAATTCCCAGACTTAGGGGGACATGTAAAAGGCTAGCGGCAATTCTGCATCTCATAGACAATCGAATCCGAATTGCCCGAAAAGCGCCAGGGCCAAGAAAGAAAAAAAAGCTAGAAAGGAACTTTATATGGCGTTTCCAAAGTTAGAACGGGATTTCAAATGCCAGCGGTAATTCTGCATCTCAGAGACAATCGAATCCGAATTGCCCGAGAAACGCCAGGGCCAGGAAGGAGCAGGGAGTTGAGAAAGGAATGTGCTAAGGAATTTCCAGAGATACAAAGGAATTTCAAATGCCAGGGGTAATTCTGCATCTCAGAAACAATCGCCAGGGACAGGAAGGACAAAAAGAGTTAGAAAGGGATGTGACAGGGAAATTCCAGAGTTGGAAAAGAATTTCGAATGCCAGGGGTAATTCTGCATCTCAGAGACAATCGAAGCAGAATGGCCCGAGAAGTGCCAGGGCCAGGAAAGAAAAAGGAGTTAGAAAGAACTGTGATGCGGAATTGCCAGAGTTGGAAAGGAATTTCGGATGCCAGGGGTATTTCTGCATCTCAGAGACAATCGAATCAGAATGGCGCGGGAAGCGCCACGACAAGCAAGGAAAAAGGGGTTAGAAAGGAATGCGTTTAGGAATTTCCAGAGTTAGACCGGAATTTCGAATGCCAGCAGAATCTGCATCTCAGAGACAGTCGAATCAGAATTGCCCCAGAAGCGCCAGGGCCAGGAAAGAAAAAGGAGTTAGAAAGGAACTTGATAATGACTTTCCAGAATCAGAAAAGAATTTCGAATACCAGGGGTAATTCTGCATCTCGGAGGCAATCGAATCGGAAGTGCCCGAGAAGCGCCAGGACCAGGGGGGCAAACGGAATTAGAAAGGGATGTGATAAGGAACTTCCAAGAGTGAGAGCGGAATTTCGAGTACCTGGGCCAGTTCAGCATCTCAGAGACAATCGAATCAGAATTGCCCGAGAAGCGCCAGGGCCAGGGCAGAAAATGGAATCAGAAAGGAATGTGATAAGGAATTTCCCGAGTGAGAAATGAATTTCGAATGCCAAGGGTAATTCTGCATCTCAGAGACAATCGGATCATAATTGCCCGAGAAGCGCCAGGGCCAGAAAGGAAAAAGGAATTAGAAAGGAATGTGACAAGGAATTTCCAGAGTTAAAAAGGAAATTCGAAAACCACGTGCAAGGCTGAATCTCAGAGACAATCGAATCAGAATTGCCCGAGAAGCGCCAGGGCCAGGAAGGAAAAAGGAATTAGAAAGGAATGTGACAAGGAATTTCCAGAGTTAGAAAGGAAATTCGAAAACCACGTGCAATGCTGAATCTCAGAGACAATCGAATCCGAATTGCCCGAGAAACGCCAGGGCCAGGAAGGAGCAGGGAGTTGAGAAAGGAATGTGATAAGGAATTTCCAGAGATACAAAGGAATTTCGAATGCCAGGGGTAATTCTGCATCTCAGAAACAATCGCCAGGGACAGGAAGGAAAAAAGAGTTAGAAAGGAATGTGACAAGGAAATTCCAGAGTTGGAAAGGGATTTCGAATACCAGGGGCAATTCTGCATCTTAGAGACAATCGAAGCAGAATGGCCCGAGAAGTGCCAGGGCCAGGAAAGAAAAAGGAGTTAGAAAGAACTGTGATGCGGAATTGCCAGAGTTGGAAAGGAATTTCGAATGCCAGGGGTAATTCTGCATCTCAGAGACAATCGAATCAGAATGGCCCGGGAAGCGCCACGACAAGCAATGGAAAAGGGGTTAGAAAGGAATGCGTTTAGGAATTTCCAGAGTTAGACCGGAATTTCGAATGCCAGCAGAATCTGCATCTCAGAGACAGTCGAATCAGAATTGCCCCAGAAGCGCCAGGGCCAGGAAAGAAAAAGGAGTTAGAAAGGAACTTGATAATGAATTTCCAGAATCAGAAAAGAATTTCGAAAACCAGGGGCAATTCTGCATCTCGGAGGCAATCGAATCGGAATTGCCCGAGAAGCGCCAGGACCAGGGCAGAAAATGGAATCAGAAAGGAATGTGATAAGGAATTTCCCGAGTGAAAAATGAATTTCGAATACCAAGGGCAATTCTGCATCTCAGAGACAATCGGATCATAATTGCCCGAGAAGCGCCAGGGCCAGGAAGGAAAAAGGAATTAGAAAGGAATGTGACAAGGAATTTCCAGAGTTAGAAAGGAAATTCGAAAACCACGTGCAATGCTGAATCTCAGAGACAATCGAATC